CTTATTATTTTAATTTAGCTATTCCTATCATCGTAAACCTTTAATTTAAAGTACCAACGTGGAAATAGTACTGTGCACTACAAAAATATGTAGCAAGATGTTATCTGGAAAAGGTTTTGAAGCATAGTTTTGATAAATATTAACTTTGATACTATCCATGCATGTGTATGTTAGGCAAGATATATTCGTTGTAATTATCACGGAGTGTCAACCGCATATTTAGACAAGATCTTTTCGAGAATTTGGATATTCACAAATAAGTGTTTACATACCGTATATAGCTACTCAGTGATATTTGCAAGTTTTCTTCGGGAAATTAATTATTGCGCAGTGTACTAGGATTTGCAGATATAACAGGTCGAGCTGTCATGTTCGTTACAGTGTAGGAACATGTATGTGTAGGCCTCTCGTTAGGTTTCTGTGTGCAATTCCCTGAGGGACTTTAAGCCGATACTCTTTGTCTGAATGATAAAACTACATCCTTAAATAATACCTGGAGATGGACATTTTTTCGACGTTGTTGAATTAGCTGTTGAACCTTCCGCGAAAATTGTTAAAATATAATTGCCGCGAAAACTACCCGGAGTACAGTATTTCGACGGATATCTTAAGACGTAGATTACAAAAAATATATGAGGTATGACTTTGTCGATCCAGTGTGTGAATGCCTCATGTTACTTTATATATGTGTCATTTTACCTTTTATATGACAATATACAATGTACATAAAAGGTCAACATACAATTCTGTTTCTCGTGTATCATTGGTGTGTTATTTACAACCGCTGCATTTTGTAATTATTCTTGTGTCGCAGTTTAGGCTGTTTGAACGTGTAATCCCATACACATATTCACACACAAGCACTGTGGATTTCCTTACATGAATCATAGACATTTTGAAAGGGTTTTATTCAAAGTTACAAATAGGTTCATGTGATGTCTGTTTACATGCTTCTTTTAATAGTTCAAGTATGACGTCAATGCGTAACTTGGTACGTAAAATGTGCAATACAGAACGTTGTATTCATGGTCTAAAAAGTTCTTGTATTACTATAACAAGATTCAACAGGTATGTGATAAATGCAATTACAACAGCATATTTTATATTAGTAATTTCTGTCTGTTTATGTATTGTCCGGTAGATATATGAAAAGTTACACTTTCACCGTGATCAATGGCATCATAACTTGTATATATGTATGGCTTTGGGTAAAGCGTCTGAAGATGATTGATAATGGAAGCGCTAATGCTTTACAAATGTACGTGTCTCACATTTTGTTCTAACTTTTCATTTATATATATTTTTCATACATAAATATTATATTTTCTCTTGTATTAAATGTACTAGTGTTTCTGTATGTTACCACTAAATATACAAATGTTTTGGGTTTATTAGTTTTTAAATTTGAAAGAAAACAAAACCCGTAATCGTTGATTGTGTTATCATTTTGGGAAAAACTGGAACGTAGAGTTAATACCGCATGATAGGCAACCTCAGGAGGGGAGGACCTTCCCATACAAAGGGAACATTCTTATAATACGGTAACTGAACAAGTGGTTACGACAAATGGACATGTTAAACACTGTAATGAGCTTCCAGACAATGAGTGTCCTGTAAACCTTCACTAGCCGGGAGAGGTGACATGTTTTGTATCAATTTAATGAAGTAGCAATTTGCGATTCCAACACCTGATGACAATTCTTGTTCAAGTTTGCGTTTTTTTTTATTACCTTTTGTTTTACTTTCTTGTTCTATTTGTATCGAATTTTGTTACTTTATTCTGGTTCTTTTATAATGTATCACATAACAAACCATGTCCAACGTAAAACAAAACGAGAAAAAGGGACATACATATATTTTCTATTTAACTGTTATCTGTATCATCTATAAACAAATATTAACCTGTGGATATGTCCATGCTAATTCACCCAGAGCGAAAACCGCGAATATTTCAACTTATACAGCATAAAGTCGTAAATTAACTGATATATAACGTAATCTGATTTAAAAACCTTTTATGAAACAGTTGACGTACATACATAATCTAATTATAACAGTCCAGACTTATTTTATCATAGATCGTAATGACAAAGGGATGAAGTCATGAAGAGCATAGTTGTTCACTGGTACATGTAAAGGATATTAATGATAATCTGGACAGAAATACTATACAATTATGGACTTTTGTGCTATCATATTTACCAGCACAAAAGCCCATAACTGTTTTATTATATGCCATAACAATAAAATAAAACAAAACTAAACTAAAGGACGCGAGCCTCCGTGTAAAATTTAGCCAGGTTTGAATACAACAGTTCATGATTGTAGCTTTCGAAGGTATCGTCTCGATTCTTTTTCTTAAGATAAGCATGGAGGACATGCACTGCGTGTTCAATGGACTATTTTTTAAGGTTAACAGCATCTTTATCCTCGAATAGTTTTGGTAATTTTCTGATGTAATGGAGGAGAAACGTTCGCCAGCAGCCATCTGACAGATCGCGTTCCAGTCTAACTGCACATGCGCTTCGACAGGTTCCGGGGAATTTCCATACAGGCTATATTTAGAAATCGATATTCACCAGATAACCAGTCTACATGAGTTTTTGAGGACTGGTCACGTGTATAGGATCCGACCAATGTGACTGCGAGAAATGTTCATGCATATAAATAATTACATCGCGTACAATAATCTGTTTATGATCAGGTGCTGTTACCATAAAAAAATATCTCCCACCCTTTAAAGTTTGTGTATAATTCAATACCGGGTATTGAGATACAAAAATCAGGTGGAGACATGAAACAAATTAAATCCAAACTGGTCACGAAATAGAAATAATTATACGAATTTGCCATCCGTTATACATGGGTTATCATTCATAATAATGAAATTAATATTTATGATGTAGACTCAACAGCTGGATACTTCCTGTTATGTTATCAACGTGTTTTCATGTATATCAATGTGGGCTTTTCGTTCCAAAGAATGGGATCTATATCATAATGAGGTCCTCCTAGTTATCTGTCCATACAGGTTTATATTATCCTATCTATATACAACCTAGAGAGAGGGGTCTTGGACGATAATGCAGGGGTTACCAAAACCAATGTATTATTCTAGAGCATGTTTTGAAAAATTCTAAATGACTTCATCGAATATAAGTTGATGACGTTAATTACACATACTTTAGCCTGGAGGACATTCTTTTATTTTATACCACTTTCCAGTGTTCTACAAGACATTTTTGTAGCTACATGTATACTGTCCCTGCAGGTAGGGCGTAAGCGTTGTACCTGCTGCCCCTATTGCATATTCGTTTGCGATTTTTTCGTGTCCTTTTGTTTTACTTTCCTGTTCTATTTGTATCATATTTTGTTACTTTATTCTGGTTCTATTATAATGTATCACATAACAAACCATGTCCAACGTAAGACAAAACAAGAAAAAGGGACACAAATATATTTTCTATTTAACTGTTATCTGTATCATCTATAAACAAATATTCACGTGTGGATATTTTCGCGCTAATTCACCCAGCGCGAAAACCGTGAATATTTCAACTTATACAGCATAAAGTCGTAAAATAACTGATATATAACGTCATCTGATTTAAAAACCTTTTATGAAACAGTTGACGTACATACATAATCTTATTATATAATTCTAGACTTATTTTATCATACGATAAATAGATTGTAATAACAAAGGGATGAAGTCATGAAGAGCATAGTTGTTCACTGGTGCATGTGAATGATATTAATGATAGTCTGGACAGAAATACATATAATTACATCACGTACATTAATCTGTTTATGATCAGGTGCTGTTACCATAAAAAAATAATCTCCCACCCTTTAAAATTTGTGTATAATTCAATACCGGGTATTGAGATACAAAAATCAGGTGGAGACATGAAACAAATTAAATCCAAACTGGTTACGAAATAGAAATAATGATATGAATTTGCCATCCGTTAAAAATGGGTTATCATTCATAATAATGAAATTAATATTTATAATGTAGACTCAACAGCTGGATACTTCCTGTTATGTTATCAACGTGTTTTCATGTATATCAATGTTGGAGTGGGACGACTGGTTCGCCCTTTGTCAGTATAATGTGACTGGGTGGGGTGTCCTGCTTGGTGTTTTCGGAGTATGTTTCAGTGAGGTAGCACTATAAAGTCGGCATCAGTTCCGCGCTATCACAAGGAGACAAAACACGAATATATCGCAGCGTCTCAAAACACGCATACACTACACGCATGAATCTCTCACAAAGAAGAGGCCGTACTTAAATGACCATAGCTGTTGATAGGACGTTAAACAATACTAAACAAAACCAAACGCAATTACATGTATACTATAATGATATTTTAATTAAGAGGTCACAGGTCGTTAAATAACACTGCCAAATATGGCATCAGACGTGACATCAGACGTGACATCAGACCTGACATCGGACCTGACAACATACCTAACAACAGACCTGACATCATACCTGACATCAGACGTGACATCAGACGTGACATCAGACCTGACATCAGACGTGACATCAGACGTGACATCAGACCTGACATCAGACGTGACATCAGACCTGACATCATATGTCATAAAATGGCATCATTGAAAATCAGCGATGATAATGTACTTATTTTCGGTTTATCATTTTTAGATATTGATATGTTGAAATTATTAAATTCTATTTCATTTCATGTACGATTCATGAATCTCGACACAGCGTATTCATGAATCTCGACACAGAGTATTCATGAATCTCGACACAGAGTATTCATGAATCTCGACACAGAGTATTCATGAATCTCGACACAGAGTATTCATGAATCTCGACACAGAGTATTCATGAATCTCGACACAGAGTATTCATGAAAACGATTTTTATTTTTATGAATTAATATTTCTAGCTCCATATGGAATGCACATTTATTCCTACCTAAATAAAACACGTATGTGTGGTTTTAAATTTTGTTGTTTTATTCCAGTGTCCGTATCGTCCAATGTTGGGAAGACCAATCCATACAGAAGATTCAAACGAAATGCCGTGAGTAATACAGCATACTATAATGATCAAACGAGTTTCATCTGTAAATAGGGGGTACTTATTTACGTTAACTATACTTGGTAAACAGTGGAAGTTTGAAAATGTTTAATCATTTACAAACTTCCACTGGTTTAAACTACCAAGTATAGTTAACGTTTTCGGCTGTTTTAACTACATCTAACCAGAAAATGTTCGTAAGTAGAAATATTTTGATGCTTTAATTTAACACTTACTTTCCCCCTCCAAATAGGGATTTTAATGTTGGAAACTGTATTTTACACATAGAACTGGCAATGCAAAAAATAAGTGTAATAATTTTGCCCTGCACGTATCAGAAACGACTTGTCATAACAAACTGCGCAATATCTTGAGTTCACTTAGCCATTTTATTCAACTGAGGGTTGTTATACTGAACACGTGAATATTCTCCTTCCAGAATTGCGATGCAAAATTCCACCACATCAGCAGCCATACGGCCTGTATCAGCGCTTCCGGCTCGGCGACATCCACTGGTAAGATTCAATAGAAGAACATATATACCATCAGGTACTAATTCTGCTTCCGGTTCCGGTCACCTAAAAACCGAATAATGATAGTTCTACCTATTCAAGAAACATATAGAACATCTCAATTCAGAAAATATCATTCCTTTCATCGCATTTAAGCGGCGTTAAATGGGAAACACGGCAAAACCAGTTAATTTTTTTCCATTCAGCGGGGATCACAGGTTTAGTGAATGAGAAGTGACATTTTAAGAAAAAAAGAAATGTCATGTGTCATTTAAAATAAACCTCAAATAAATGTTGTATATATAGGTCCCTGTATTCATATTATTTATGAATTTCTCCTCGGAAAATACTGAATAAGCTTAAACGAATAAGACCTTTATCTGGGAACTTAGAGTGTGTCTTAAAATGTGTCTTCTCAAGAACTAGGAATAGGGAAAGCTTAGCTATCTAAAGCACGGCGAGAACAAATGAATATAATGGTCTCCAAGTTTTGTTTGTTTGGGGTTAACGTCCTCGTTATGACAAAGGTCATCTGAAAACGGGTACCTATAGAGGCACGGGTACCTAAAGATGCATGGGTTCTTAAAGCGGCACGGGTTCCTATAGAGTCACGGGTATCTATAGAGGCACGGGTACCTATAGAGACACGGGTACCTATAGAGGCACGGGTTCCTATAGAGGCACGAGTACCTATAGGGGCACGGGTACCTAAAGAGGCACGGATACCTAAAGAGGCACGGGTACCTATAGAGGCACGGCTACCTAAAGAGGCACGGGTACCTATAGGGGCACGGGTACCTTTAGAGGCACGGGTACCTATAGAGGCAAGGGTACCTATAGCGGCACGGGTACCTATAGAGGCACGGCTACCTAAAGAGGCACGGGTACCTATAGGGGCACGGGGACATTTAGAGGCACGGGTACCTATAGAGGCAAGGGTACCTATAGCGGCACGGGTACCTATAGAGGCACGGCTACCTAAAGAGGCACGGGTACCTATAGGGGCACGGGGTCCTATAGAGGCACGGGCACCTATAGAGGCACGGGTACCTATAGGGGTACGGGTACCTAAAGAGGCACGGGTACCTAAAGAGGCATGGGTACCTAAAGCGGCACGGGTTCCTATAGAGTCACGGGTATCTATAGAGGCACGGGTACCTATAGAGGCCCGGGTACCTAAAGAGGCACGGGTACCTATAGGGGCACGGGTACATATAGAGGCACGGGTACCTATAGAGGCAAGGGTACCTATAGGGGCACGGGTACCTTTAGAGGCACGGGTACCTATAGAGCCACGGGTACCTAAAGATGCATGGGTACTTAAAGCGGCACGGGTACCTATAGAGGCACGGCTACCTAAAGAGGCACGGGTACCTATAGGGGCACGGGTACCTATAGAGGCACGGGTACCTATAGAGACACGGGTACCTAAAGATGCATGGGTACTTAAAGCGGCACGGGTTCCTATAGAGGCACGGGTATATATAGAGGCACGGGTACCTATAGAGGCACGGGTACCTATAGAGGCACGGGTACCTAAAGAGGCACGGGTATATATAGAGGCACGGGTACCTATAGAGGCACGGGTACCTATAGGGGCACGGGTACCTAAAGAGGCACGGGTATATATAGAGGCACGGGTACCTAAAGAGGCACGGGTACCTATAGAGGCACGGGTACCTATAGGGGCACGGGTACCTAAAGAGGCACGGGTACCTATAGAGGCACATGTACCTAAAGAGGCACGGGTACTTATAGAGGCACGGGTACCTATAGAGGCACGGGTACTTAGTAAAGAGGCAATATCAAACAGAAAAAGTTAGGAAACGTAAAGAAAATAACAAGAACAAAAGTGTTGCAATCTGGAGAGCAGACCACCTTTTTTGAGATACTCCCCAAGAAGTAGCAAAACAAACAACAAGTTTGCAGGGTGTCCCACATCAGTAACCTCTTACGTGTACATAATTGATCAAGTTCTATAGAGCGAAGCTTTTCACAGGAAATTTCAGTTCATGCAATGAGTAGGTTCCAATGGAGAATTCATTGTGGCTATGAAATAGAGCCATTTTGTTTTATATGTTTTCAGAAATACGCAATGGACATTATATCCTCAAATCTAGGCTTTGACTACAAATGTAACCCTGCCGGGGAAGCAAACTTAACACATGTAATGTAGGGGTAGATTGTAAAGTCCTTCAATTAAAATACTTCTTTTGTAAGAAGCGTCCATGTGACAAAAAGATACAGACAAGATCAATATTAAAAATCTGTTTCCAACTTCAATATTTCTACTGTGTTTATCTGACATGCTGAGCGTTGTGGCCAATGCGACTTTTGTATAACTTGTCCGATCTGGTTCTTTTTGTCTAACATCGATATCGGCACACATATCTAGTTTATTCTGACATTTAACATGGTAAACTCCCACTAGTGACAATCAGTTCGGTCAAAAACTGTTTACATATTCGGATCTAGAAGCATAAACTTCGTTTTACAGACGATCTAACATTTATCGAAATTAATAGTATGTTTCTCTTCATTGCAGGTGTTTCTGCAAGTGATCAGACCTCGATATTGAATAGTCACAATACATTCCGCAGCAATGTGTCACCCACGGCGACCAACATGAGAACAATGGTACTTCCGGTTAACTGAAATATGAATTGCTTAAAAGTTGAAAATTTCCAACGAATGATACTTTCTGATCTTTTTGTAGAATCTTTGGAACCAATGTGCGTTTCAATTCATGCCAACAAGAGTTATCACTATGATTTGTAAGCATCTTAGTCTTATAAAATGAATCAAGTTCAATAAATTATTATTTTAGGACACATTTGGGTAAGTAGATTGGCAATATTTTACAGTGAGCAATTTTGAGAACAAACTTGTAATGTGTATATTTTGTACATCTTATCTAATTTACGAAGATTTTGAATAGTGTGTTCTTTGTAAATGCCACAATAGTATGACACTTTCTGGATCTTCTATATTGTTATTTGTGATAGTGTCTTGCTACCATTGTGTAACGCTTGTGTGAAAAGCTGTGGATACGCTTGTGAGCGTGCTATCAATGTTTACACTTTCTGCCCTTTGTTTTTGAAGAGCATTACTTGGTAAGCTTCCAATTTACGTGTTTTCCGTCCTTGTTCTTGATTTACAGCAATTACCTGCCTTCGTACAAATTGATTATGTTACAATAAATAGGGACACAACTCTGAAGCTATAATATATATTTATGTTTTAAAAACAAACAAAAAAAGTTTCAAAAAGGGAAGCGAAGACGAAAAGGAAATATAGAATACTTAAGTTAATAGTACATGTATAATTTTGTCGCTAGTGTTGATTGATTAAACTAGCACCATTATGACATGGGAGAGTGGGGAGTAAGGGAAAGAGCGTTTATAGAAGGGTCTAGTGTTGTTTATTCTTAAAATGTCTTTTTTTTTTTTTATTAAATTAATAGTCAGAATCGCTTACTTTTGATGACAATCAATTGAACCCTAGACCAGCTACACATGTATATATTTGAATGTGTTATTTTTTTCACCGAAAAGTAGGTACTCTGTTGTAATATTTTGGTCGGTTTATTTTGTGAAATATTGGAACCATCCAGGAAATAATGACCGGAATCTTTCACGGAGTAGACTACACCATTCTTAGAAAAACTATTAAATTTGGTTTGTCAAAGTCTGAATTTTTGCTTGTCGAAAGTGAAAATATAAGCTTTCTTTGGCCAAAATTGAAGATTTTTTTTTTTTAAAGACTAAAGTTTTACTTAATAGAACTGTGCCATTGTAGGACGCTGTCAGGAATGTATCGATAACAATTTAGGAAAAGCAGGGATATATACAATACACTAATGCTGTTTTTGTATTTACAGTCCTGGGATGTTGAAGTAGCGATGATAGCTCAGAAGTGGGCGGAGAGCTGTCAGTTAAGTCACGACGATGGTTACAGCCGTTATATTCCAGGTAATTGACCCCTTTATTTTACAAGTAATCGACCCCGTTATATTCCAGGTAATCGACCCCGTTATATTCCAGGTAATTGACCCCGTTATTTTACAGGTAATCGACCCCGTTTTATTCCAGGTAATCGACCCCGATATATTCCAGGTAATCGACCCCGTTATATTCCAGGGTAATCGACTCCGATATATTCCAGGTAATCGACCCCGTTATATTCCAGGTAATCGAACCCGTTATACTCCAGGTAAAAGACCAAGTTATTTTTCAGGTTATCGATCAAGGTTATCAAGTATGAAGTGTGAAGAGTGGGATTAGGGGTACAATTAGGCCAGATCAAGGTAATCAAATATGAAGTGTGAAGAGTGGGATTAGGGGTACACTTAGGTCAGATCATGGTTATCAAGTGTGAAGTAAGAAGAGTGGGATTAGGGGTACAGTTAGGTCAGATCAAGGTTATCAGATATGAAGTGTGAAGAGTGGGATTAAGGGTACAATTAGGTCAGATCAAGGTTATCAAGTATGAAGTGTGAAGAGTGGGATCAGGGGTACAATTAGGTCAGATCAAGGTTATCAGATATAAAGTGTGAAGAGTAGGATTAAGGGTACACTTAGGTCAGATCATGGTTATCAAGTGTGAAGTAAGAAGAGTGAGATTAGGGGTACACTTAGGTCAGATCAAGGTTATCAAGTATGAAGTGTGAAGAGTGGGATTAGGGGTACACTTAGGTCAGATCAAGGTTATCAAGTGTGAAGTGTGAAGAGTGGGATTAGGGGTACAATTAGGCCAGATCAAGGTTATCAAGTATGAAGTGTGAAGAGTGGGATTAGGGGTACACTTAGGTCAGATCAAGGTTATCAAGTGTGAAGTGTGAAGAGTGGGATTAGGGGTACACTTAGGTCAGATCATGGTTATCAAGTATGAAGTGTGAAGAGTGGGATTAGGGGTACACTTAGGTCAGATCATGGTTATCAAGTATGAAGTGTGAAGAGTGGGATTAGGGGTACACTTAGGTCAGATCATGGTTATCAAGTATGAAGTGTGAAGAGTGGGATTAGGGGTACACTTAGGTCAGATCATGGTTATCAAGTATGAAGTGTGAAGAGTGGGATTAGGGGTACACTTAGGTCAGATCATGGTTATCAAGTATGAAGTGTGAAGAGTGGGATTAGGGGTACACTTAGGTCAGATCATGGTTATCAAGTATGAAGTGTGAAGAGTGGGATTAGGGGTACACTTAGGTCAGATCATGGTTATCAAGTATGAAGTGTGAAGAGTGGGATTAGGGGTACACTTAGGTCAGATCATGGTTATCAAGTATGAAGTGTGAAGAGTGGGATTAGGGGTACACTTAGGTCAGATCATGGTTATCAAGTATGAAGTGTGAAGAGTGGGATTAGGGGTACACTTAGGTCAGATCATGGTTATCAAGTATGAAGTGTGAAGAGTGGGATTAGGGGTACACTTAGGTCAGATCATGGTTATCAAGTATGAAGTGTGAAGAGTGGGATTAGGGGTACACTTAGGTCAGATCATGGTTATCAAGTATGAAGTGTGAAGAGTGGGATTAGGGGTACACTTAGGTCAGATCATGGTTATCAAGTATGAAGTGTGAAGAGTGGGATTAGGGGTACACTTAGGTCAGATCATGGTTATCAAGTATGAAGTGTGAAGAGTGGGATTAGGGGTACACTTAGGTCAGATCATGGTTATCAAGTATGAAGTGTGAAGAGTGGGATTAGGGGTACACTTAGGTCAGATCATGGTTATCAAGTATGAAGTGTGAAGAGTGGGATTAGGGGTACACTTAGGTCAGATCATGGTTATCAAGTATGAAGTGTGAAGAGTGGGATTAGGGGTACACTTAGGTCAGATCATGGTTATCAAGTATGAAGTGTGAAGAGTGGGATTAGGGGTACACTTAGGTCAGATCATGGTTATCAAGTATGAAGTGTGAAGAGTGGGATTAGGGGTACACTTAGGTCAGATCATGGTTATCAAGTATGAAGTGTGAAGAGTGGGATTAGGGGTACACTTAGGTCAGATCATGGTTATCAAGTATGAAGTGTGAAGAGTGGGATTAGGGGTACACTTAGGTCAGATCATGGTTATCAAGTATGAAGTGTGAAGAGTGGGATTAGGGGTACACTTAGGTCAGATCATGGTTATCAAGTATGAAGTGTGAAGAGTGGGATTAGGGGTACACTTAGGTCAGATCATGGTTATCAAGTATGAAGTGTGAAGAGTGGGATTAGGGGTACACTTAGGTCAGATCATGGTTATCAAGTATGAAGTGTGAAGAGTGGGATTAGGGGTACACTTAGGTCAGATCATGGTTATCAAGTATGAAGTGTGAAGAGTGGGATTAGGGGTACACTTAGGTCAGATCATGGTTATCAAGTATGAAGTGTGAAGAGTGGGATTAGGGGTACACTTAGGTCAGATCATGGTTATCAAGTATGAAGTGTGAAGAGTGGGATTAGGGGTACACTTAGGTCAGATCATGGTTATCAAGTATGAAGTGTGAAGAGTGGGATTAGGGGTACACTTAGGTCAGATCATGGTTATCAAGTATGAAGTGTGAAGAGTGGGATTAGGGGTACACTTAGGTCAGATCATGGTTATCAAGTATGAAGTGTGAAGAGTGGGATTAGGGGTACACTTAGGTCAGATCATGGTTATCAAGTATGAAGTGTGAAGAGTGGGATTAGGGGTACACTTAGGTCAGATCATGGTTATCAAGTATGAAGTGTGAAGAGTGGGATTAGGGGTACACTTAGGTCAGATCATGGTTATCAAGTATGAAGTGTGAAGAGTGGGATTAGGGGTACACTTAGGTCAGATCATGGTTATCAAGTATGAAGTGTGAAGAGTGGGATTAGGGGTACACTTAGGTCAGATCATGGTTATCAAGTATGAAGTGTGAAGAGTGGGATTAGGGGTACACTTAGGTCAGATCATGGTTATCAAGTATGAAGTGTGAAGAGTGGGATTAGGGGTACACTTAGGTCAGATCATGGTTATCAAGTATGAAGTGTGAAGAGTGGGATTAGGGGTACACTTAGGTCAGATCATGGTTATCAAGTGTGAAGTGTGAAGAGTGGGATTAGGGGTACAATTAGGCCAGATCATGGTTATCAAGTATGAAGTGTGAAAAGTAGGATTAGGGGTACAATTAGGTCAGATCATGGTTATCAAGTGTGAAGTGTGAAGAGTGAGAGTAGGGGTACACTTAGGTCATATCATGGTTATCAAGTATGACGTGTGAAGAGTGGGATTAAGGGTACAATTAGGCCAGATCATGGTTATCACGTATGAAGTGTGAAAAGTAGGATTAGGGGCACCATTAGGTCAGATCATGGTTATCACGTATGAAGTGTGAAAAGTAAGATTAGGGGTACAAATAGGCCAAATCAAGGTTATCAAGTGTGAAGTGTGAAGAGTGAGATTAGGGGTACAATTAGGCCAAATCAAGGTTATCAAGTGTGAAGTGTGAAGAGTGAGATTAGGGGTACAATTAGGCCAGATCAAGGTTATCAGATATGAAGTGTGAAGAGTGAGATTAGGGGTACACTTAGGTCAGATCATGGTTATCAAGTGTGAAGTGTGAAGAGTGAGATTAGGGGTACAATTAGGCCAGATCAAGGTTATCAGATATGAAGTGTGAAGAGTGGGATTAGCGGTTCACTTAGGTCAGATCATGGTTATCAAGTGTGAAGTGTGAAGAGTGGGATTAGGGGTACACTTAGGTCAGATCATGGTTATCAAGTGTGAAGTGTGAAGAGTGAGATTAGGGGTACAATTAGGCCAGATCAAGGTTATCAGATATGAAGTGTGAAGAGTAGGATTAGGGGTACACTTAGGTCAGATCATGGTTATCAAGTGTGAAGTAAGAAGAGTGAGATTACTGAAAGTTATTAGTGTATTCCTCTCTGGATAATGAACATTATTGAAATATCTTATCAACGATGATGTTCCAGATTCATTGAGTCGTAAATTTACGTTTCAGGGCGGTTTTCCGTGGGCCAGAACCTTGCCATGGGCCATGCATCTTGGACCGTAGCAATCACTGCATGGCATGACGAGGTGTCGGCCTTCACCTTGGGCGGAACCAACGTCTTCTCAGACGTCGGTCATTATACACAGGTATGTCACATAGAGATTGTATATATGACGTGAAGCCTCTGGTACTGCTATTATGAAAAGTCCGATAGGTTGAGGTAAAAACGGTTGGTTCGGGGTTCCATACCGTCAGTGATGTACACATGTATGTGACACATCCATGTGTTTTTATAAAATATCAGACTTATTCTACTTTCACCAAAACGGTAAGTATCAAAATAAAATTATGATAAGGTGTTCAGCAATGTCTTAAAGAGTGTATGAGTCACTGGAGTACCTATTAATGTTATTGTGTGCTTATATAATGCTCTTTGGGCTATTGTACAAAAGTATGCATGTCATCGATTAATTAATTTCTTGTTAATTAAAACAGTATTGTAAAGAAGAAAAAAACAATACTTGGTGGATTATAGTGTTGTGCAAACATGACCAATTCCTAAGGTTATGGTTTTTACCTAAAATACACGCTCTTTGATTAAACAAGAAAACAAACTACAAAATGTAAATTGTTTAATTTCGTTGCCAATGAAATGTGAAGGTTTATATTGTAAATGTCAGCACGATTTAGACATGATATTTAAAGTAACATTTGACTATGTAACCTTTACTTTCAAATACATCACAGTTACCTTGTGTGAGGTATCACACACCCTCAAATCTATAATAAAACACAGTACTAGTGTGCAAGGTATCAAATATCCTTGACTTTAATACAAACAACAGTTATAGTGTGTAGAGTATCAAATATCCTTAACTCTAAAATAAAACACAGTTATAGTGTGTAAGGTATCAAATATCCTTAACTCTTATACAAACCACAGTTATTGTTTGTAGAGTATCAAATATCCTTAACTCTAAAATAAAACACAGTTATAGTGTGTAAGGTATCAAATATCCTTAGCTCTTATACAAACCACAGTTATTGTTTGTAGAGTATCAAATATCCTTAACTCTTATACAAAACACAGGTATAGTGTGTTAGGTATCAAATATCCTTAACTCTTATACAAACCACAGTTATTGTTTATAGAGTATCAAATATCCTTAACTCTTATACAAAACACAGCTATAGTGTGTTAGGTATCAAATATCCTTAACTCTTATACAAACCACAGTTATTGTGTGTAGAGTACCAAGTATCCTTAACTCTAAAATAAAACACAGTTATAGTGTGTGAGGTATCAAATACCCTTCACTCTTATACAAAACACAGTAATAGTGTGTAAGGTATCAAATATAAACACAAATTTGATTACACCGCAGTTATAGTGTGTCAGGTATCAAATATCCTTAACTCTTATACAAACCACAGTTATTGTTTGTAGAGTATTAACTATTCTTAACTCTTATACAAAACACAGATATAGTGTGTTAGGTATCAAATATCCTTAACTCATATACAAAACACAGTAATAGTGTGTTAGATATCAAATATCCTTAACTCTGATACAAACCACAGTTATTGTGTGTAGAGTACCAAATATCCCTAACTCTAAAATAAAACACAGTTATAGTGTTTGAGGTATCAAATACCCTTCACTGTTATACAAAACACAGAAATAGTGTGTAAGGTATCAAATATAAACACAAATTTGATATAAACCGCAGTTATAGTGTGTTAGGTATCAAATATCCTTAACTCTTATACAAACTACAGTTATTGTTTGTAGAGTATTAACTATCCTTAACTCTTATACAAAACACAGCTATAGTGTGTTAGGTATCAAATATCCTTAACTCTTATACAAAACACAGTAATAGTGTGTTAGATATCAAATATCCTTAACTCTGATACAAACCACAGTTATTGTGTGTAGAGTACCAAATATCCTTAACTCTAAAATAAAACACAGTTATAGTGTGTAAGGAATCAAATACCCTTTACTCTTATACAAAACACAGTAATAGTGTGTAAGGTATCAACTATACCCACAAATCTAATATATACCGCAGTTATAGTGAGTTAGGTATCAAATATCCTTAACTCTAATACAAACCACAGTTATTGTGTGTAGAGTATCAACTATCCTTAATTCTTATACAAAACACAGCTATAGTGTGTTAGGTATCAAATATCCTTAACTCTAATACAAACCACAGTTATTTTGTGTAGATTATCAAATATCTTTAACTCTAATACAAACAACAGTCAGTTTGTATATAGTATAAAATATCCTTACCTCAAATACAAACCCGTTATACTGTGGAAGGTATCAAATATCCTTACCTCAAATACAAATTACAGCTATAGCGTGTAAGGTTTCAAATATTATTGACTCTAATACAAATCACAATATTCAGGTGTAAGGGAGTACATTTATATACAGGGAGAAAACTCTAAAAGAAAACATGCACATAAAAAGTAAAGTTAAATTATCTTCATATGTGTGTTTTCTTTGTTCATTTGATTTAAGATGTACTATTTTGTATTTTGTTAAATAGATGGTCTGGGCCGAGACGTCTAAACTGGGCTGTGGGTTTGCCGTCTGTAGTGGCACGAATTTCTATGTCTGTAACTACTCGCCGACGTAAGTAACACACTGAATCCTATTTTGCGTTTGATTTATAAGCAGAATTTGTTCAAATTTACCAGGAATTCTACGAAGATATTTGAAAACTGTATCAGGTATCACCTTGCATTTTATTATTTTTTGTTTCAGTGGGAATTTGGATTACAATAATCCATACATATCCGGATCTTCGTGTTCAGCATGTCCCTCTTCATGTTCCAACAATCAATGCGGTATGAATTGTTGGAATTGAAAAAACTGTCATTTTTCACATAGAGCCACGTGATAGAAAAAAAACACTTCACAGAAATAATTTGATATATCTGAATCTCACTTTGTTTGTTGCTGAGTTCTTGTTAATACAGTGACATGAAATAAAACAGTGTTAACCATTACAAGCTCATTCATTGGTTAATTAGATTTAACTTCGGTGTTGTGTGGCATCATACTCTGGAAAAAAAGTATTTTTAACTAATGCAATATAATGTTTTATATAAGAGAGAAGGCAAGATTGATGTTCTAGAATGCAGAAAGAAATGTCCAAACAATCTTTGTATTTTACGACATTTTATGTATCAGCAATTATAACTGACGTCACAGATAACATCAGTTTTTGTGTTGATGAATGCATCCACGCATGCGCAAAGTGCTGAATATTCGGTCAGTTGATACAAAAAGGTAACAAGCTAGCCTTATTTCGATACGTTAATTATAGTAAATTGTCACTTAGTTTTGTTTGCACAGATTGTACTGGGAATTATGTCTGAATGGCGGCTTTCATAGTTGTAAATTGTCACTAAGTTTTGTTTGGACAGATTGTTCTGGCGAGGTGTGTCTTTATGGTGCTGTCAATTGTTGTAAATTGTCACTTACTTTTGTTTGGACAGATTGTTCTGGCAAGGTGTGTCTCAATGGCGCGTCCATGGACATTGACACGTGCCAATGCACATGCAACAAAGCCTACCTGGTTGGAAGCGAATGTGCACGTGAGTAAGATAGGAACTTTCCACATATATTATTCCAAGAGGACTTCTAGTGTTTCTTTGTTACTCACCTCTTTTTGAGGAAAATAATTTGCAATTACTGTCTAGTATAGAAATGTAGCTCCGGGCTCTTTTTCAAGCTTTTTACTGGCACATAGGTGTATAACTAGATACATTTATATTGTCAAATCAGAACTACATATAAATCATTTTGATAATGAACTTTGAAGAGTTGGATTAAAAACAACAACCTTTTATTTAAATTCATACAACTTTATTAATTTTAAATGTTTTAAATACTTTGTAATAAAAACCTTGTTTGTTTTGACCGGATTTCGTCCAATAACACCCCTATTGTAGTGAACTGTACCGGGTTGACATCGGATCCCTTTGGATGTGGAAGTGGAGCATTCATAGCATCTAACTGTCCAGTGTATTCCAATCTGCCTACGGACTGCCCGCTGATGTGTCAAACTTGTCCACGTAAGTACAGCGCCAGACATACATTTTCCTTGACATTTATACATCTAAAAAAATACAATGCATTCATTGCACGTCTTTGATTTCGTATTTTATTGCAAATCGCATTTATAAGTGTATTGTTTTGTTTTGCTGAAAAGGTACACGATTCAGGGTAGTTAAACAGCAATAATGCAGTCACTGTGCAAACATAACTGTTATCGTTTTGATCATTTTGTGGTATATCCAATCCAGAAAATCAGGATATCGAGTATTGCAAAATAAAATCCCTACTTTGTAAAGAAGATTTGTTCAAACAAATGGACGTCAGATAAACGTTACTCCCAGAAATGTTCACATTTAACAAATCTGTTGTTTTAAACATTCCTTTGGTGTTCATTACTTTTTCCTATAATATATTTTTTTTATTCCTAGTTTTCCATAAAATATTCCACACAAAAAGTATCGTACTTAAAGCGTTGTTCGTTTGGTATTGGACCTTTTTGAAAATATCCCTCAGATAGGAATTTGTTGAGAAAACAAGATCATGCGTATACTGTTTCAATAAGATGGATTTTAGACATAACTTGCGTTTACATTATTTTACAAAGACAATATTGCTGTTCCATATTTCGCCTTTACATTATCTTTTTCTACAATAGTACTTAAATATGCGTAATTCAATGTCTATTGACTTATGTTATTCGCATGTTATATCGAACTATATGGTTTCACGTTTTCTGTCCCCTATGCACGTGTATAAGACATGCTCGTGTTATTTTATTACATACTTTCTCGATATTGTTTGTGTACAACCGTGTAGTAACCGATCCCCGGACAAAGTACTCTCACTTATGTTCATCAAACAACTTTCTTCTGTTGTTAGTGATGTAATCCAGGCGATATATGTCCAAATATAGGTCACGGTGACTTTTTCTTAACGAATTGATTCCCTCTTCGAAGATGTTCAAATAATAAGTTTGATAATCGCAAGTGATATAATGATGAAGATTTGCTATCATACACCTTAGTAGGCAGGTTATGTTAATAACTTCCCGTATACCTCTATGAAATGAGTCCAAAGTTTAGCAGTGAGTGATATTGATAAGGTGTTGCGATCTTTTGCTTTTGCATAGTATACGATGTGTTAGCCTGATTTTTTCTATAGGCCAAATAAACAATCACACATACGTTTCTTTGTGCCATGTCATTCGCGAGTTTTTTAAACTGTGTGTTTACTATTCTGTCATATCAATATGAATTATTATCTTGTATACGAGGACTAATTTGATTGGACGACATGGGGTGTGAACGGCCGTACATCACATAGTGTTTTAAAGGTGAATTGAGAGTTTACTGTCTCGGTCTAGATACACCCTTATGTAATTCAAAGATACTACATTTTATGAATGTTGTTCAAACCTTGACATATCTGTCAATTTAAATATCATGTACAAGTGCATTATTTTTATATCTTCAAAAATGAATGCCAATAATATTTAACACATCAGAGAATCACTAGAAATTAGAATTCTATTTAAAATTTGAAGATAAAGAACGCCAAACAAAGGTAACATTTACTGCACTATCAGTACTTCAATTAACTATTTTAAATTGATTTTAGTGTTCTTCCCGACTATTTGCCATAATGTTGAACTCGTTTGGGGAAGTAATGATTATCAATTCCTTAAATATTGTGTGTTTCTCTGTAATTTTTCCCAGATCCGTTTGAAATGTTCATGCATATCAACAACAAAAAAGGACATGTATCATAAGATTTATAAATAATTTGTTGAGTAATACCCACAGAAGTGTTATCTAAGTTATCCCGTTCAAACAGTAGGCAGCATATAACATGATTCATCCCGTTGCAATATTATAGGATATAATCAAAATAAGTGTTACTTTCGGTTTTGATTTTCTACCAATGCACAATTCTTGGAAATCATTAGTTTAGTAGATACAGACATTTAAATATGTATAATATTGTGTGATACTTTCCTGAAAAATAATCCATTAAAGAGCTTTTTAAAAACACGTGCATTTCAGATGATTGAATATAAGCTCAAAATCAATATGCCTAAAATTGTAGCGTTTTCCCGTTTAACAAAAATGATAAACTAGGCGGCAATCCGGCAACTGAGGTGTTTAAAACTATTATCTTCAGAGCTAAAACACAGACTTGACCAAATTACAATTTCAGATGGTGACGGTACTGGTGGATCGGGTACCCAAACATCGACATCTAGCACGAGTACGCAACCCATCTCGACATCTAGCACAAGTACCCAACCCACCTCGACATCTAGCACAAATAACCAACCCATCTCGACATCTAGCACTGCGACTACCCAATCCTCTTCTGGCACTTCCCAGTCGAGTAAATACTAACACAATTCAATATAATATAGCACTAGTTCTCCTGTACTCTTTACACCTATAAAAATAGAAATAAAACATTTGATATAGTTGTTTGGTAGAATAGTACGATTGGCTTGTACATTCCTTTATATTATCAACATACTTCACTGTATCCCTTCTAAATGCTCTACGTAGTTTTCTCAGGACAAGTTCTCCGAGACAGTAGTTTGGCTGTGACATTTATACTAAATCCTACAGTACTACTCATGTTGTAAACATACTGACCTGTAGTTACCTCAGTAGCTTCTATACGAGTTTGATAATATTAAGCGACTGGCACCGATAGATGCACCCTCTAGAACTTTTTGTTTCTTGCTGATGTCTGCACAGATTTTGTTAATGTAGTGCTCCTGGTATGCATGACGTTCTGGTTCTATCTGATGTCAGGGTGAATGGTCTTATTTTTATCATCATAGATTATCACAGTGTCATTTCAGTGTTTGTCGTGAGAACAATTTTCTCAACGTTAGCAGGTGGATAAGATCGAGAGAACATTGTTGGTGAATTCGATATTTTATTCACGTGCAAGTTATGAGAAGATTGTTCGAACGACAAACCCTGAAGATACTGTTTTTTAAATGTTTTTCATCTATATACTACTAATTCATATGTTACTTCATTCAAAAGTGTCAATTAAATTCCATATCTTCCATCCGGCTTCTTGGCCTAGTGATCATCTAGATTCACGATGGGTAAACATTGTAAACAAATACGCGTAGGAATACCACGAACCTTAAAGTCCTGTAAGAAGATATTAACAAAATAATAATATTCCTTTCATTGGCTTCTCCATGCGCACTTTTAAGCATAAGATGGTGTTGTTAGCTCACATAACGAACTATTTTCTCACGGGGAACACCGTTGTGTGGATAATATCCTGTTAAGGACATCGTTTGGCCCGCACTGATTTTCCTTTTTGAACACATTCCCATATAGGAATATCCATTCCCAAATTGTCGAACTCAACTTCTTCTTCAGAAATCCCCTTCTTTCAACTCTTGATAAAAAATGTATCATGCTACTGGTGGATTGTATAAAGTGACATCTAGTTCATAAAACACGATATTTCTCTAGAATTGTCTAGTTATTACTTTTTATTGTTTGTTTTTCTTCACTTCATTGCGCTGTGTTTGTCTAGTTAATGTTAATGATGTATGACTAGTTGAGGTTGTGCACGGTTCTTTTTATCTATCACTATGTATCCCTGTGCCTGTCTAGTTGAAAATGTATGACTTGTTGAGGCTGTGCACGGTTCGTTTTATCTATCACTATGTATCCCTGTACTTGACGTGTTGGGGCTGCGCATTGACTGTGCATTTTAACCGTCAATCTTTTTAGCACTTTGGTTCATTTGGCTTTTCTATTAGTGATTGTCTAATGCATTGGTAACTAATACAACTTACACAATTATAGATATGTAACCGTCACATTCGGATGTTATAATGTTGTTTTGGACATGTTTTTTTGACGTGTTTACCATGCCTCTTTTATCGCGACTGCTAATATATGACGCTAAGGTAAGTGGATGCATGGCTGAAAAAGAGACTTCGTTATTTACGTTCTAATAAAAATTTGTCATTTCTGTCCTAAAAAATAAAATTAACATTTGTTTTACAAATTGTGCCTGTATGAACGTAATTGCTTGTTGTAAATAGTATTCGAAACAATAATTGTTATTTCTAATACTACAACAATGACGTCATTCATCTGTATTTATTATTACGATGTTTCGTTTCGTCCACGGAAACTTGGTTGTTTTGTATTAACCATTAGTTGTAGAAGGAATAGATGGATTACAATAAAGTGGTTGTTACATTCGTCTATCGACAGCGCCATCGAGTGAAAAAAATTCTTGATCCGTTTACAGTTTTATAATGTATTGTTTACATATAATGAGAAGCTATGAACATCTTTTGATCGCAAATATTTTATGTTTATATGAAAATGTCTTATATAATTTTAATCTATATTATACAATATAAAATACGTGATTTGGATTAATCCTATTCCTTACATTCTGTCTGTGTTAGTAAACTTTCAATAATGGAGGGTTCTCCTGAAATAAACTGAGAAAAAGTCTTGATTTAGGTGTGAATGTTACTAAAAACCATATGATTTTTTTTGTATTCTTGCAGAGTTTATAAAATATCCTTTGCTGATAAAATGTTTGTGCAAAATTATGATTTTTTTCTTACGAGCGTCATGACGGGTACCTACTCATTATATGCTTAAGGCAAACCTCGCATATTATCCTTATTAAAACTAGAATAAGTTTAAACATAAAAGGTTTGTTATATACTATCTATATAGATATATTAAGTCGCGTATGGACGTGTTTCTCGCTTGTTTTTAACACTGATGTAATCGAACAAGCGGCTGCTAGACATTTGACTGAGATATGTTTATTTTCCAAATTAAATTGTTCAATTCAAGGGACAATATCTCAAAAAATAAAATCCAAGGAAGACAACTCTTACATCCTTTATAATATTCCAAGGAAGACAACTCTAACATCATTTTTAATATTCCAAGGGAGACAACTCTTACATCCTTTATAGTATTCCAAGGAAGACAACTCTTACATCCTTTATAGTATTCCTAGGGAGACAACTCTTTCATCCTTTTTAATATTCCAAGGAAGACAACTCTTACATCCTTTATAGTATTCCAAGGGAGACAACTCTTACATCCTTTTTAATATTCCAAGGAAGACAACTCTTACATCCTTTATAGTATTCCAAGGAAGACAATTCTTAGAAGTTGTATATCCGTCATATCAAGTAAGGTTTTATGCATGTTACTGCTTTGAACACCGTATCCTTTAAGCCATAACGCTTTTGTTGATTTGAATATCTGATGCCAAACACTTGCCAATTAAAAGGAAATGTGCACATGCCTTATACTTGCGCATGCAAATAAAGCGTTTTAGTTTGTAGACGTACATATTATCTCTTTTAACCGAGGAACGAGATCCAAAGTATTTATTGTTTTATTCATTCTAGGCTTGTTTGTTATAAATGTAGATCTACTTTTCTAAGAATAAATAATTGGAATGAATATAAATTATATGTGAATAACTGGTAAATATTGAAATACATACATGGTAACCGAGATGAATGTTGTTCACTGTGGTTGTATTTGTTGTTTTGTGTATTTTCCTAGTAAATAATGTCACATTGCTTTTTGTATTGTGTAGTATACAATTTCCATAAAAATCGTTTCTAATTGTGTTTATTTTGCTATTTTTTGTTTAGATGGAGACTCGACAACCGATTCGAACACCGCCTCGCGCAGCCTCTGTGACGTCGTAGTCTGGCTTGGAGCCTGTATGCTGTACTTTCTGGTATAAGGATACTTTCCTTTTTCGATCCGAGGAAAAAAAGCAAAAAGAAGATCAAGCTGGAGCTATATTTATCATTCATTTGTACAAGAACTCGTTTCACCCATAGGTCCTGACCTTTGTAAACTGACTATCGATACTGGCATCTGACATCGGATTTTTCAACGTTTCACCCGTATTTTTTCAATTTGTGAAAGAGTTGTACTAAAATAACAAGTGACATATGGAAATAATATATACTAATTCAATCTAAAATCAGCATGTACAACTTACCTCAAGTCCATTTTTATACATTTCTGTAAACTTTACAACCAATCAGATACGTCAAATGGTTTCACCTCATTCCCTTTGAAGATACCATTTATACAGTTGCAGACTAATTTTTGTTCTCACTTTTATCTCTTAAATTGCTGGTTAGATTTTTTTCTGTGAATATTTTCTATCTGTTAATTAGGGCGACTATTCATTTCTGATTGTGTGGGCTCTGTTAGCACTTATGAAAGAATTAATTGAGGTTTTGTCTGTTGTCCAATAACATTTTTTTATTGTCTATGAATTGCTATAAAATAGATTTACAATCATTTTCTACCGCTATACACAATCAGTCAACGCCATACTTATATAACGATTTGCGTTTTTATGACAGGACTTTCATATTTTTTTTATTGAATACAATTAAGAAAAATAACAGTATATCAACCAAAACCAATTCAATACAAATATTTTGTTAGTATTTCTTTCCTGAACCCCCCCCCTATATTCAAGATATAGTGAATGAACAATCATGCATTTGTTATTTTGTACTTTTCCTCTTTATACAGTATACCTATAACTGGCTTATAACCTGACGGCCTTACATATATCAGTATACGTATTGTTGTTATTCTTTTCAACGTTGAATTTTTTTGACGACGAAAAGAACATGTAACCACATACTTTTGTACAGTCTGTTTAAGATTTATAAACATATCTCATGTGAAACATGTTGTAAAATAAAAAAAATAAAAAATAAATGATTTTGTTTCATATTCTTGATTAGTTTAGGTACCTATGAACACGTTTTGAACATTCCGTTTTATCTTTCTGGAGAAGAAGATATATCTGTGTTGTAACAAGCATATATACAATATCACGCTGTTATCATGTTATATTTTATTTTATGACACATGCAATATATTCTGTTAATGTATAGGTACTTTTTATGAAAATAGTACTTACTGTTAGTAACAATGCACCTCTATAATAATATATAACAATATGCAGAATAATTATCAGACTTTATTCTGGTCTATACTTGTATTTGAGTGAAATAGTTTTTTAACGATCAGTAATATAGCCTGTTGATATTGATATCTCAATACCATTTATAAGTTTCACAAGCTCAAATCTAAATCAAAATATATTTAGTGTCAACAGTGTGCCAAGCTGTACCAATTAGATCAATAGATTGACGTCTCTCATGACCCCGCCATTCACATTCACCTTTCGAATGCCTTTTCCTGTTAACGTTTATATACTATCCAATTCATTAAAACGCATCTGCGATCCTCTTTTTTTATACAATATGTTTGAACTACAAACATAACCAGTACTAGAAGTCATTGTTTCCGCTTTGTTTCGGTCAACTTCGTTCTGTGTTACCGTAAGCAATTGTCACGTGACTGTTAATTGTCATGACTGATAATTGTCACATGACTGTTGATTGAAGAACTTGTTTTTATATAGGTATATTTTCACTTTCAATATGTATATCGTTTTTTTCTCAACAATTTTAGCAAAATATGTGAAATCTTTTATAAAGTCATTTATTGTGTATATCTACTAGCTTGTAATTTACTATCTATTAATTGTATGTGTTTTATTTTAATTGTATATGCATTCTATATTAATTGGATATGTATAGTGTTTGTTTTACTATACATGTCCTTTATACTAGTATTGTAAAGTGCTTTGGAGCTGCTAGATATGGCGCTTTACAAACGACTATTATTATTATGTATTATCATTGAAAGGTCTGGTTAATGTACATGCCAATACAAGTAAAGATTTCAATAATTTGTTCCACATTAAGTCTGTGCGTGTGTCTAAATGATAAGTAGTAGATGTAGTTAAACATATATTGGTGTTTCGTTAACGTCTACTAGACGTCATTTTCTATGAAATCCTATCAGTGTAATCAACAACACGTACCATTGTTACAGTTGTACTGTATCGTAATTACTAGAAAACTAACTCGTGACAACGGAAAATTAGTAGTTTTTTTCTGGCGAGAACTAGCTTTTCTTTCATGTTTACGGTATTATTGGAAAAAATAAAATTGCACATTTTATCATAGTTAACGTTCACGTTTTATCTTCCACTTATGCAAATTCGTAAGCTTGAACTTTGTGTAGAGAATATTACTGCAATAAAATAAAAGCTCTTGAAATAAAAAAAAATTCTGTGATACAAATTTAGCACAATGATACTCGCTACAACTTTATTTTCCAAATTATTATCATGTCAACCCAACTTATATTAAAATGAAAGGAATCTTCTAAATATTTAACACGGTACTTTTAACAAAGTTAGTAGATTTATACAAAAACTAATGAAGCTACTTAATATCAAAAAAAGTTAGTACAAGAATTGTTGGAATAGGTTGTAATTATAGATATTGCATTATATATGTCATAGTATGTGTGTAATATGTCCATCAATGCATTCTATGTAATATTTGAGCTCGTGTTACGCACGTTTACGTGTGGCGTGAGTGTAAAATAAATCTTTAATATTGAAAACCTATAAAACACATTAATTTCCAGAGACTAAGTGACAATTCTAGATTTTGGATCTGGAATGAAGTTAGTTAATCTAATCAAAATTAAGTTCGGTATTTTCTTCCTTAAGCCATCCAGGTAATATATATATAAAGCACACAAAGACATTCGTTAACCAGGCTACATATTATATTCATATATATATATATATAAACAGATAATAAATGGAGAATAATTCTTTAGTCTATGCTTGATTTACTTACGATTAATCATTCGTTGTGTATTTTATGATAATGTTTAGAATCTCACTACTATTTTGGCCATGTAATGCTTTATTATATAAATGGTAATTTGCAGTATAGGAAGATTGATAGATTGGTAAAAAAGCGATTCCAAGCGCTGTCCATACATCATAACCAATATAAGTGAATGTGTATAAAAGCATCAATAACTTGGTCGGAGCGTACCATTCTGAGCGATTTGTTTGATATCTCGGACAAGGATACATTGATGCCTATATACATTGTACCATGCTCTTGTAAAGGGGATCTAAAAAATATGCAGCATTCCTTTTTTCATATTTATGTTCTAATCTTATTAAAACATATTATATTTTTAATGAACTAAAAAGTTGACTTTACAGCAGTTTTTAAGAATTCAAAAATTAAGTTTCATGATTTCAACCAAAACATAATTTCATTTTACTTTATTGAATCGTAAGACGAATTTCGTTTTGTGTTATCCTTGTGTAATATTAATTATTATTTTAAATGATTACATGATTGACGTATTAAATTTGTTCACAAAAACCTTTCGGAACATCACCTGGATTCAATCGTAGTGATGATATAATAGTTAAATTGGCTGACGATCAAGTGTATCTGTATGTGTAGCTATAACGATTATCAAATGTATTTGGATGGCAGTAAATAAAATCGCAATTTACCATTGCATTCACGAGTTTGAACAGTGTTTTTCTTGGAAAAAAGACACACTTTTTTTCTTCTGTTGCATTTTCAGCTCTCTTAAGGAGCCCGGTCCCACTGTTCTGTAGCATTTTTGAGCTCGTATCATTCCGTTTTCTAGGTATCTCCATCGGTTTCAGCGATGGTACAACACCCTGAAGTTCAGGGCACGAATTCCGATCTGGCCCCGCATATCATTTTAAACTTCGAACACGTTTGTTGATTATATTTTGTATATTTCATCTCCATTACGTTTTCATAAAAATCCAGCAAAGGTATAATTTTCTTTATTTAACAAAGCTATATATAGTTTTGTCAGAAATATAAGTTTCGGATGCATGGTTTCAGTTTTGGCAGTGGTACCTGAATCCCTAGAACGAAATCTCTGTAAGCTTACGCTGTAAATCTCTCTAAGCTTATACAGTAAATCCCTGTAAACTTATACAGTAAATCCGTGTAAGCTTATACAGTAAATCTCTGTAAGCTTACGCTGTAAATCTCTTTTAAGTTATACATTAAATCTCTAAGCTTATACAGTAAATCTCCGTAAAGTTATACAGTAAATTTCTGTAAGCTTACGCTGTAAATCTCAGTAAAGTTATACACTAAGTCACTGTAAGTTTGTACAGTAAATCTCTGAAAGCTAAGGCTGTCAATCTCTGTAAATTTATACAGTAAATCTCCGTAAGCTTACGCTGTAAATCTCTGTAAAGTTATACAGTAAATCACTGTAAGCTTACGCTGTAAATCTCTGTAAAGTTATACAGTAAATCACTGTAAGCTTACGCTGTAAATCTCAGTAAAGTTATACAGTAAATCTCTGTTAGCTTACGCTGTATATCTTTGTTAGCTTACGCAGTAAATCTCTTTAAGCTTACGCTGTAAATCTTTGTTAGTTTATACAGTATATCTCCGTAAGCTTACCCAGTAAATCTCTGTAATCCTACACTGTATATCTCCGTAAGCTTACCCAGTAAATCCTTGTAATCCTACACTGTAAATCTCTGTTAGCTTACACTGTATATCTCTGTAAGCTTACCCAGTAAATCTCTGTTAGCTTACACTGTATATCTCCGTAAGCTTACACTGTAAATCTCTGTTAGCTTACACTATAAATCTCTGTTAGCTTACACTGTATATCTCCGTAAGCTTACACAGTAAATCTCTGTTAGCTTACACTGTATGTCTATTTAAGCTTACACTGTAGATCTCTCTTAGCTTACGCTGTTTAACTTTGTTAGCTTATACAGTAAATCTCTGTTAGCTTACAAAGTAAATATCTGTTAGCTTACACTGTATGTCTATTTAAGCTTACACTGTAGATCTCTGTTAGCTTACGCTGTTTAACTTTGTTAGCTTATACAGTAAATCTCTGTTAGATTACAAAGTAAATATCTGTTAGCTTACACAGTAAATCTCTGTTAGCTTACACTGTAGATCTCTGTTAGGTGACACTGTATATCTCTGTTAGCTTACAAAGTAAATCTCTGTTAGCTTACACTGTTTATCTCTGTTAGCTTTCATTGTAGATCTCTGTTAGGTTACACTGTATATCTTTGTTAGCTTAAACAGTAAATCTTTGTTAGCTTACACTGTATGTCTCCGTAAGCTTACACAGTAAATTTCTATTAGCTTACACTGTATATCTCCGTAAGCTTACACAGTAAATCTCTGTTAGCTTCACTGTAGATCCCTGTTAGCTTACACTGTATATCTCTTTTAGCTTATACAGTAAATCTCTGTTAGCTTACACTGTATATCTCTTTTAGCTTACACTGTATATCTTTGTTAGCTTACACAGTAAATCTCTGTTAGCTTACACTGTATATCTCCGTAAGCTTATACAGTAAATCTATGTTAGCTTACACTGTAGATATCTGTTAGCTTACACAGTAAATCTATGTTAGCTTACGCTGTATATCTCTGTTAGCTTACACTGTAGATCTCTGTTAGCTTACACTGTATATCTTCGTAAGCTTACACAGTAAATCTCTGTTACCTTACACTGTCAATCTCTGTTAGCTTACAAAGTAAATATCTGGTAGCTTACACTGTCAATCTCTGTTAGCTTACAAAGTAAATATCTGGTAGCTTACACTGTTTATCTCTGTTAGCTTACACAGTAAATCTCTGTTAGCTTACACTGTAAATCTCTGTTAGCTTACAAAGTAAATATCTGTTAGCTTACACTGTAAATCTCTGTAAATTTATACAGTAAATTACTGTAAGCTTACGATGTAAATTTCTGTAAATTTATACAGTAAATTACTGTAAGCTTACGATGTAAATTTCTGTAAAATTATACAGTAAGTCACTGTAAGCTTACGCTGTAAAGCGTCTATCGTCTCTTCAAATACAAAGCTACTAGTCCAGAGTGCCCGGTTGTCATCTGAATGACCCACCAATATGTAGATGTGGACATTTTATATTTGAGTGCCCACATTATAATAACATTAAAATGCAATTATTACAAAACATTTTTTCATTTTGTATAACTGACAACCGTAATTCTTATAATCTAAAAACTCTATTAAATGGGTGCAAAATATGCAGCACTGATATCAACATATACATAATATGTCGGACTATGTTCGTCAAACTAATATACTTGATGTGTAATCTCACTCACAACCAAACTTTACATTGATTTGATGCATATATTTATAGTGTCATTTTGCTGATAAATATTAATAATGGTGTATATACATTTTGTATATATTATATCTATCTTAAACAACATCTCTGGTATTTTTACTGGACTGGTTGGAATTTATTATTACTACTCTAAACCTTGTTCTAATTATTCTATAGTAACGTTATTATTATAAAGTGATTCGTTAGCTAAGAGAATAAACTCCTATAATAGATAATGATGACAACATTTTCCTACATGAATCGATATTATATTCTAAACTTTTACAAAATGTGTATTTCTTGGTAACTTATCCTATATATCCAGTGGGTGGATGATCAATGTGTTTATACACAGGGACTTTTGGTCTGTATCCCTTAGATTGTATGAAGGATAAGTTGTCAACAAATATACATGATTTATTTAATTGTTAATATCCAAAACATAAACAACAAATGATTGAATAATACCTGAAAAATGTTTATTTCACAAGCTAAATTGGAGTTCTCTCCCCTACACTGTTTTTTTTTAAATTGTTATGATAGAGTATATGTAATGTTTGTTAATAAGTTTGGACAGGACTTAAATAGGCCTAGCCTGATGTCTAATCCAATTGACATATATTAAGTCAACAAAATATGTTAAAATTGAAATTGAGTGACACAATTTGACAAGGATCATCCCTTGGCCAAGAAGACTTTATTTTGTTAAAAAGTGTTGGACTCATTGGGAAATAACGGGGAGAGGCACAATAGGAAAATCGATCTATGAAAAACTGCTTATGAAATAGGGACTGAAGTTGGCATTGAATATTACAAGGCCAATATAACTCAATTCTATCTGAAAGTTTGGCAGAGAGGGTTTATAGAGTTAAAGGATGACCAGTTATGTTTCCTTTATTCGAAAACTTTTTTTTTTTTTTATAACGAGCACAACATCCAAAAATGGCGTAGAAACCTGATAATCGAAATTGTTGTGCTTTTGTTCTATGTAAGTAAAACGATATATAAATTACCCTAGCAGAACGGAAACACTTTTCTTTAAAAAAAAATATGTTTTCTCGGGCTTTTCTCTCGAACAACATGATAAATTCCGAGAAAAAAACCGCGATTCACCATCATAACGGCAATAAATGCATATTAAACTATTAAGTCGACAGACAAGGACAAAATCAAGACATTTCGGCGATATCTTTTTCTCCCACGCTTCATAGATGCATTCTTGCTTTTCATTAAATTTACCTACTTAAGGAAAGACAGATCGCATACGTTACATTGTAGTATTCAGAAAGCATCGTGTCATTATTTTGTTCGGTGAACCATGATATTGTCCTCAGGTTTGTCACACATTTCATACCCTTTTGACGATGGCACGGTTCATTTGGTAGACTGCAACAACATATGTGTATGGTAGAAAAAAAAACACGATCTTGTGTGCTTTAATCAGAAAAATATCAACTCTCGGGATAGGAGTTTTATAGTTAAGCACTAGGAAAGTCTCGTGCTAAACGTCAAAAACCATAACCCAGAGTTGAGATTTCTGAGTTTGCATCACACAGGAGTTCTATTTTTCCACTGGTGATATTGATGAAAGATACCAGACCTAATTTATTTCTAGAAATATAACATTTAAAATATTGCCGAAAAAATTCGGGAAATTTTCTGAAAGATTTTTTTTGTCCTATGTTTGTTTTTCATGTTGTTCAGTATCTCGAGAAGTCACATAGTATTACTTGTATCAATTTGCATTCCTAAAATTTCTTTATTCTCTAACCAACAAATAAGTCTAAAACGCTAAATCATTTTCATACTTTATTGATAATGATTCATATCGAATGCTGTTTTAAGCAAGTAACATGCACTGCCATTCTCATTCAACCTTCCTATTCTCGACCTTTTCCCCTCAAGTATGATTCTAATTGACGCAGTAACTCCCCTTCCATAGACAATGAACTCATTGAACTAGATTAAATCCTCAAATCAAACAACCACAGCTTCTCGCCTCGTCAGGTGCACTTGCAAAAGTGAATGATCTGTGTTGTTAAAATAAAATAAATGCCTATTAAATAAGAAACAAAACACAAACAAACACCGTTAAGTACCTAAAGCCGTGTAAGTCCCAAGGATACCCAGGGAGGCTATACCAGGGTGGACTGCTACTCGTCTGCCCATACATTGGTATATACTGAGGTTCCAGGAGGTCTGGAGTCTCCTCCTCTGTGCAACACTCCCATATCACATCAAATAAATTTAAACAAATCTTCAAACACAAAATTTGCAGCTTCCCACCTCGTCAGGTGCACTTGTATAAGTGAGTGGTCTGTGGTGTTGTATTTATAAAATCAGATTTGATAGGACTCCATTTACAACAATGTATAAGTACCCTCTAAAACATACAAACATCAATAACAGTACTTCACCAACATACAAGACACACTCACAATAACACATACCCTTGGTCAATGGGTGGGGTCTATCCGTACCAACTTCAATCATGGCACAGCCTCCTGAAAGACAGTGTTTGCATATCAAACCACATAAATCACCTAACCTTAACACTCAAACTAACACAACCCCAGCAGGTTCTATACCGCACCCTATACTCTACAGTATCAACATCCTTTACAAATTCCCCCTTCTAACTATTCAAACACATCAGGACTTGTATAAGTACCCACCGGAGGGGGTTATACAATTTGTGTTTATAAATCCTCCTTAAACAATAACATACCTACAAACTCTTACAGGCTATTTTCATAAGACCTTTGTTCACACTCCCTCACGCTGTTCTCTAACCTTCCTGTCCTTCGGAAGGGACGTTAAATGGGGTCCGGTGTAAGGAGAGTCACGCCTTGCACGTTAAAGATCACTCTGCTGGCTTTCGATAAAGAGTAGGCTAATTGCTAGCCGCCACAGAGTATAGGTTATATATTTAGACTAGTGTAGGGCTTTAAGTGACAATCCAAATTACAATCCCTAAATTATAGAAACTAGAACGTTAGGCACCCATATCCTCCATTTTAGAACTTTTTCGCAAAACTCGAAAAGCGGATTGCAGCCATCGACCTCCACCTCCTATTTTGTCCTAGGCTCGGTTATAACCAGAACAAGGACGGAAAGCCCCATCAATCAATCAATCACTCAATCAAGGAGGTCAACGAATGCAAAAAAAATGTTATACCATAAAAAAATACTGTTTTGTCAATGAATACACATCAAATAATGATATCTAATAAAAAGGCAAATGAAACATATCTTGTTGGGTTTAACAATTGTATGCCTCGTTTTACAATGGCTCCTTGAATATATTTGGACGATGAGGAGGTAATAACCTACGGGGAGTCCTTTTACGTGAGCGCTTTGGTCCATATCTACTTTCACTTGTAGGTTGTAGGTACGGATACTGTTTCCGTTTTAAAAGTACGGAAAAGTCATTTTCGTTCATCATTATCAAATAACAGTCTTCCTTGGTCACTTTAAATGGCATGTGCCATTGGTTGTGGTTTGTTTCGAAAACTCCAATATCCTTCATGAAAACATGTCTACAAAACGTTTCCACAGACCCCCGTAGGTGTTTGAAATACAGCACTTCCCTGTGAAATTCGGCGTCTTGTTGTCTGATCTGTTTCCAAAACCGTAACAGGAAGTATTCATATAAAGCGTAATCCAATGGTGCTCTTTGTCGGTGAAGCTCGCGGTCTCCTGGTTGAATGTCGTGATGAAGGCGATAAAAACTGATAGTATTCTGTCTAACATAAAGAATGTCCTTCATGGTCCAGCTAAGAAAATGTTTAAGTAACACAACAGATTCGTCGAAATGTTCTTTGATCATGACAAAGTGGAAGCTCGAATCCAAGTAGGAGATGTATTTTGTTATCTGTTCTGGTAAAGGGTTGTCAAAGAGTGATGGAGGAAAGCCAAAGTCCAAGGCCATTCTGTTATTTGTGAATGAATATGCTGGTAACTTTGGTTCATGTCGTTCAGGATGACGAAGCAGCTCTGTCATTGGGAATTCCCCTGTTATGTTGTGAAGATATGGGACTCCCCACACCTTCCGGAAGTAATGAAAAGATGACAAAAACTGATCGAACGGATCACGTATAATGCTGACGTAGAACGCATCTTTATGTAAATAACGTTGCCATGCACTCTGATTGTATACCACGTGGTGACATAACATGTCGAACCTTCCCTGATCAATTTGAGGGTGGATATCCCTGTCGTTCAGGTACCCGTGCTGGCTGATAACATTCTTGCTATTTTTTGGTAAAACAAATGTCAAGTTTCGTGAATAGCCAAAACGCATAAATAGATTCATTACAGTTGAACCAGCGACTTTGTGAGCTTTTAGAAATGCTATATGCTTTACTTCCTTTGCAGAATCTGTATGTTTACCAGACGTGTCCCAAGCCTTTCCAAATTTACACACAAGTGAATCCCTCGTGATAGAACAATCGTCTGTAATAATCCCTTGTGTGTTATTGAGATGAAACGTGTTCCAAATTTGAAGAGCAGTAACAACAAATATTAACCCACCGAACAATACACAAAGCAATCTGTAAAAACAAGGGAAAATGTGTAGCTTTATTGAAACTTTTCTGGAATAGCTCAATTAATGTCTGTACTTTCAATTTCAAAGGCGATTTCAAATATTACATATCAACTGTAAAAAAAACAATCATCATCAACTACGTTCTATGTACAGAAGAAGACACCCTGAAATTGACGTCAGTAAGTATGAAACTGGTGTTGAAATTTGTTGAATGCAAATGTAGAAAAATAGTTAAAAATAGTTTGTTTTGTCGCTTTATAGTTACGTCATGTCAACAGTTGACACAATACCTTACGTATTGCGACTGTAGAATTGCTGTCTGAAAACCTTAATCGATTAAGTGTAAACAAGAATATCACTTGGACGTTTGTTTAAAATACAAACAATTGTCACTTACATAATGTTTTTTACAAAATCTATAAAGTCTCAAAATGCAAATCAATAATACAAGTCGAAAGAAGTTTTTAAGGTTTACCCACCTCGTACGTCGTTTTCCTGTTGTAAGTATACTTCTTAATGTTGCCATTATAATACTTTTTTTTTCCAAAACAGTGTTTTGAAAAAAAACACCAAGCTTCTTCTATTATTAAAATGTTCGAAGGGTAGTACACACACAGACCTATTAAGTGTTGCACGGACAAAGGTACACCTGTATACGATGTGGCTTAGAATACATATGTATTATTATAACACTGTGAATGATAGATAACGGGCCATGTTTGTAATACATATCTCTAGTAGAAAATAGGATCACTGACAAATTCACTTTATCTCTACCCGAACACATGCTGTACCCGTGGTGGCGAGTTACATAATGTAGTACCTGTGCACTCAGTGACGTATGTTATCAGCGTGTCAAAGGTCAACCTGGTCTAGCCACAGTATCTGATACCTTTAAGACTATCGTACAGGATTGTGTACATACAATCGTACATAATAAGCATGCTTGTGTTTATCTTCGCCCTATGATAGATATAATTAAAACAAATATTTTATGGAAGATATTATATATTTCTATTTTTCATAACTATTAAGGCTAATTATTGTTGGGCCTGTATCCCTTGGATTTTATGTAGGATGGGTTGTCAATAAATATACATGATTTATTTTATTGTTAATATCTAAAACATAAACAGAAAATGATTAAACAAAAGTTGTAAAATGTTCATTTCATAAGATAATTGGAGTTATCTCCCCTGCACTGTTTAATTGGATTGTTATGACAGAATATATTTATTGTTTGTAAATAAGTATGGAAAGGACTTAAATAGGCCTAGCCTGATGTCCAATCCAATACACATATGTAAAATCAATAAAATCTGATGAAATGAAATACTTATTGCTACAATTTGATATAATTGAAATATCCCTGTGATGAAAAACATTGGCTGCTGGTGATGATGAGTGAACTATGATCTGTTATATCGATTCTAACGCACAAAATACGGTGAGTGGGAGATCCAACGTCCGTTCAAAGGGTTCAGCGAAGTTCTGTTTTACCCAGCAGACGGATTCCACGAGGAAAACACGAGTCTGGCCGTAATAGTAGAGTTATCGATAGGTAAAGATGACCATGGCAACGTCGTGCTGGGTTTATCGACTTTAATCAAAATTAAGTTAACTAGTTTCAACACATCAGATGACGACAGACTGTTCTAACGACGACACATCTAATGTTTTAAGCCTAGTTAACGTATTTTTTTTTTATTAAAGCTGGTAAACCCTGCACGACGTTGTTATGGTAATTTGTACCTATTGATGACGACACATTTAATGTGTCAAAACTAGTTAATGTAATTCTTATAAAAAACCGGCAAACCAAGCACGACATTGGCATAGTAATCTTCATATATTGATATCTATACTAAAGCACATAATGGTCACATAGGATATGGAGATAAACTCTTTCAGCCTGTTAATTTGAATACTATCTAAGGTCCAATCTTCATTCTCTTATTCTTTAACCCCGATAGCTCTGACAATTTTATCCTTCTGCTCGACATCATTTTGGGATGAACTCTCTACCTAGAAGTCTCAATATGGATTTCTTCTTCTTTGAAAGGCATGTTCAAGAAAATTCCCTAGACAGACGAACGTTGATATCATTATACAGCTGTATACAACGATAAATGTAAAGATGACATATAAGATCATACATCGCGACACAGTCGGTGGTAAGGACTCGACTGATATAAGTTGCTAACAGTTATTATCATTACACAAACTATTTAACAGTACTTACGGACTGAGATGCATATTATTAAAGGTTTTGATGGAAACGAACTCTGATGTTTACGCATTACCGACGCATGACGAGAATACTTTGACAGTACGACAGCAAAACATGAGGACTTTCTAACTGGTAATGGTGACTAGGAATAGTTCATTTAAAGCTGGCAGGGTTGTTTGGAGGATAAAGGTTACACGCACACAGTGACTAGTTTATACAATGAGGATATACAACGTAAAAGTAAACATTATAGCGCTTTTACAATTCCCCCGAAACCGTATTCAAATAAGGACAACTCGTCTACAACGGACACATGTGTTTGGTTTGCAGTTATCACAATTATAAAACATGTTACACTACATAACATATTTATAAAATCTCTAATTAATTGCACCGAGACATTTTTGACCAAAGACACACGATTTGTCACTAATGAAACTTGATGAGTGTACTTCACTAAACATCTCACAAATCTTCTGATCAGAGAAGAAGTTAAAGCTCTGACAATGGTTAGTTATCTGGCTACAGGCCCGCGCACAGCCAACCATAGAGTCTGTTAGTGAAGCGTTCCCCATTTCCGGTCCGGAATATCTCTTCGACTGTTTCACACAATATCTAATAGATACGCACGCACGATCTGTAAATAGAAACAAACATAACAGTATATGATTATACAGATTTTAATATCGAATAAATCATAGTTTGTCATTTAATTATAATAAGGGGAAGGGGGGGGGGGGGTCCGACTTAGTACGAAACATCGTTACATGCAGTACAGTATAGTAAACTAAAAATGAATTCAACGTTTCGCTTCAAACGTTTTCTTCTACAACCGTTTTCATTATACGGCCACTCTTTAATGTTTGAAGTCATATATACATTGCACCACATATACACGAAACCACGGAAAAGGATGTGTGATGTATTTTCAAGAGGTCTGTGCAAACATCACATCCGTTCACCCATGCCACCACGCACCACCATCAAACAACTAGTACTTCATCCGATAGATATATTGCTGGAGTACAAGACAGGGTTGGTTTGCCTAATTCCATGGGACAGCTTCTACCAATCATATATCGATGAAACTGGCCGGACACGCCTAAGGAGGGAAGATGAATCGATAACAGAGACGAGGCTGAATTGTCTTTATGGCCCCGTTCTACCATCCACTAAGGGAAGGACTTGGTACATGTAAGCATGTTACCCGTCCTTCTGACTGACTGCAGTTTTATAGTGATACTCGACGAAATAATTCGATATAACTCCAACAGCTGACTTAACGGCCTTGGCACACAGTGGCTTAGCGAGTTGATTTCAGCGGTTATAGCCGAGACACCGGTCATTTGCACTCTTCGCTTGAGAAAAGGAAACAATGTTTAAGAAAGCTCTCAAAATAAACTTTTTAATAATTTTTGTTTCCATATCAAACGTAGCATATACTTTTTATACCAAACTGATTCATCGCATTCAGCATAATCATCTAAACTCGCTTTTGTTAACCTTTTATACAAAAATGCCTCCTATCAAAACACCAAACTGTGCTGTCATTTTCATCACACAAGGTGTTATGTCATCTCGTTACGTATTTGACTTCGAGAAACTTGGACGAGGTCTGGAGAGATCTTTAGTTGAAGTACGATCAAACAACGTTTTATATATAGGTTTACTTTATGTTTACCACAATGTATTGCAAATTATATTGATGTGGATATAGAGGCAGCAATACCTGCGTCCACTAATATCCTAGTGTTATTGTTAGCTAACATAGCACACTACATGAACCTTTACATTCGCACACTAAGCTCAGCAGCTTTCCATTCACCTGTAACTCCAGACATTAGGTGAGGCATTGTCAAATACAGAAGTAAAAGTTGAGCGTGTTCTTGTTTTTTATTTCTTTTGGTATGGTTAGTTATTGAGTCTCTTTTTATATATTTACACAAAATTTAATTGAATCGCTTCGTGCTTACGTTTTCATTTGCTACATTTTTGTTCATAATATTTTTTGGTCAAGTACGTTTACAACATATTGCTCAGTCACAGGTTACGTCTGTTCTTCCTGTTCCGTAGTTACACTTACTGTTATCAAGTATTTAGTTCAAATAATGTATTTATCGTATATGTTTCTTCAATCGATAGAACAGCCATCTGTCCAGGGCGGGTCAGTGGTAATTATGACGTCACAATAAATATGAAGTCAACAATCGATTCATAACATTCATAGCCTTTATAAATGCCATCTGAGTGTGGAAGGGTTATACAGTTTTTGATTATTTAATTATTGATTTCTGGTACAGGATTTCGTATCCTCTACTCAAAGACATAAATAATTGTTATGAATAAAAGTTTTTTGATTGTAACGATATTACAGTTCATAAATTAGCTTTGAAGTTATATGATAAATCAATGTTTCCCAGTGTTTATCCAGATCATTTTTGAATTTGGTTAAATTTTTAGCACATACTTCATTTTCCGGTAAATTATTCCATACATTTGCAGTTCTAAAACATTAAATCTCCTCTGCCCAATCGGTGTTATATTTTCAAAGAATTTCCTCTGCTCCCGGACCGATTTGACACATCTTTCCATAACTTCAAAAACCAGTACATGTTACATCGCTGTTTATATTTTCCATGGATTAATTTATACAGCTCTATCATATCTCCTCACTGTCTCCTGTACGATAGCGTTGGTAAATTTAGGCATTTAAGTATATCCGGATATGAAAAGTTTTTCAGTTCAGCGACCAATTTCGTTGCCCTTCTTTGATCTCCTTCGATTTTTTCAATATAGTTTGTTTTATTCGGAGGCCAAATAGCGCTCGCGAGATCAGGATGAATTCTCACTAATGATTTGAATAAAAGTTCCTTTGTCCAAGTTTTGGGATGATCTCCTGATGATTGCCGCCATTGAGGTGGTCTTTTACATTAAAATGTCCTAACATGGTAAATATTTTGGTATAAAATACTAATTTGGTAGTATTGACCTGGTAAACTTTTACTCGTACAACGCACATACATGTGTTATATCATTAGTTTGGTTTGTTTAGTATTGTTTAACGTCCTATCAACAGCTATGGTCATTTAAGGACGGTCTCCCCAATGTGCAAGAAGCATGCGTGTAGTGTTTGCTTGTGTGTTTTGGAGGCGGCGATATGTTCTTGTTTGTCTCCTTGTGATAGCGCGGAACTGATGCCGACTTTATAGCGATACCTCACTGAAACATACTGCCGAATACACCCAGCAGGACACCCCACCCGGACACATTATACTGACAACAGGCGAACCAGTCGTCCCATTCCAAAAATTGCTGAACGTTAAGCAGGAGTAGAAACTACCATTTTTCACATACTCTGGAATGCCTCGGCCAAAGGACAGATTCCAAAGCCTTCCTCACAGGGG